TTATGATATATATATATATTTTTTTTTTTTAGTTATAAACAGCCCATCGAGAAGACATAAACGAGAAGATGACGATTTCGAGTGCCCGTTTCCAGACGGTTTATTTGCCGATCCAGAATCGTGCAGAAAATTTATTATCTGCGCGGGTGGGCATCCTTTCACACAAAATTGTCCTCCATCTCTTTATTTCGATGACATAAAAAAGTTTTGCACAAGAAAAACTAAAGAACTGGCTTGCGGGCCTGTAACCACAAGTAAGTAATTTCCATTCATCGCCGACTTTTGATGATTTACAGATGTTTTCGCAGATAGTTACAAAACAAAAATAATTTTTATTACCGCACCATTTACTTATTTTAGAAGTAAACTCTTTATTATCCTATTACTTATTGATTTTAATTATATTTTTGCTCCATTTTAAGCCTTTTTTTCGAAATAGGAGATTACATTATATCCAATGCAACCACATTTTATAACTTAAGGTCAAAAATCATCCATGACTGATGCACTCAATAGGCGTAAAGAAAATGTAATAAAAATAAATCACCTCGTTTTGCCTGAACGATGATCGTGAAAACATATATATTATTTCTTTTTTTTTTCTGAAATTAGGAGGAATTATTTTAAATTCAAATTAGAATACATTACTTTAACGACGTCTTCAACATCATCGAGTAAAACACTGTTTAATTTCGTTATAAAGATTAAGCACTTGCTTTTTTTTTTTTTCTGTTGTTGAATTGATTAAACTGGGTTCGCTAATAGTAAAATCCCTGCGTTATTATTATGCATTATAATTTAACTACTTTGAAATTCTGCGTGTTTATCTCTTGAGTGCTATCTTTGAAATTCTGCGTGTTTGAAATACGTGTTTATCTCTTGAGAACAAACATTAATAAAATGTTCAGGGTCGTAGACGATTCTATAATGTCAAGGAAGTCCACTCTTCTTCATGATGTTGAGAATTTTTTGTCTTAATTTAAGCAATGAGTTATCTAAAATTACGCTAGAAAGACATTAACAAAATTAATTTTTTTTAATTAGGATATTAGAATTTATTAATAAACGCTTCAAAACGATACTAGGAAATTGGATCGTTAGAAAAGTAATGAGGTGTTTCGGTGTTCAAATTATTTCCTAAACAAATTCGAATGATAATTTTAAAATGATGTTTGAATTCCGTTTGAGCGGCCAACCAGGCCAAGAGTTTAACTTCTTCCGTCTTCTTATTAAAGTGAAACTTCCCAAAACAGTCGCTGTATTTAGGATTGTTTATTATCTGGATTTAAGCTTCTTCCTGTAATAAATATTGTTTACAGGAAATATTAGCTATTAAAAATAAGAAAATATATTGTTTTCTATTTCTAATAATCACATTGTACATTAATCTTACTAATACAAATTCCTCCATAAAACTACACACAAATACAAAGAAAAACTTCCTGAAGTAAAAATGGAAAAAATATTAAGATGAGGATACTAAAGAATAATTTAAACATTATTTTTTAAAATAATGCTGAGTTTAGGATAGTATGATCTTCTGGAAAACAGTTTGGGATGATATATGACTTTTAACATACAGTACATCCTTAATATAATATTGATCTTTGTGTTAAATCTTATTAAAAATATTCTATCTTAAATGTTCATAACAGATTAAGTAATTATAAATTTCATAGCCTACTATTCTTGATTATTATAAATAATGTTTATTAATTATTATAAGTCATTTAAAAATAATTGTCAGAATTTTTCATTTTATAAACATTTTATAATACTTTTATTATTATGTAATATTCTGAAATTAAGGTAATTTAATTATGTAGTTTCTTCTGAAGTACTTACTTTCACATACACACAATTATCATTCTATATCATAAAGACAAATTTAATGCATCAAATCAAGTAAACTATTAATATATTATTATTATAATACTATAATTTTAAAACTGTATAATACATATTTTTTAAAAATTTAATTATATTATTAGTTCCTTAGAAACAATTGTTTGTGTCAATAAAATAGGTTTTATAATGTACAGTATTGATTATATTTTGATTGATGAATTCATAACTTCATCATAATACTTAATATTACTGTACAGTAATTCCATTTTTAATATTACTTTTCAGGGTTTGAGATGATTATTTTTCATTTATAGATTTTATTATTACATACTTCAAAAATTCTTATAATTTTTAAGAAAATAAGTTTTGAGAATCAGAAATAATCAGTAAATTCTTATAATTATAATAATTATACAGTAGAGCGTCGTTTATCCGAATCAATTGGAGACTGGGATTGTTCGGATAGCTTATTTTTCGGATAATCGATTATGTACGAAAAAATATATTAACCTATCCCATGTTGAAATTTTTCTCACTTGCGTGTCGCTTCGCGTTGAATTTTCGTCGATATTAAGCCTAACGTAAACTTTTTAAAATAATAATGGTGGCTATTGTATTGTTAAAAATTATTTCTTTATCTTGTACAAACAAAATAAATATATTGAAAAATATAAAAACAATAAAAAATTATACTTCAGAAGTTAATTTAGTATCAAAAACGTAAAATATTTGAGTAGCCCAAGACATAGCCAAAGATTGCAGCGCCACAGCACTGGCGAAAATTTAAATTTGCC